TCTCTCTCTCTCTCTCTCTCTTTATCTCTCTTTCTCTCTCTCTTTCTGTCTGTATTTGTCACTCTCTCTCTCTCTCTCTCTCTCTCTCTCTCTCTCTCTCTCTCTCTCTCTCTCCCTCTCTCTCTCTTCCTCTATGGCTTTAAAGACTAAATATTGTAAGGTTATGACGTTAAGACAATGTGCCGTCTCGGAAGGGCGTTCTTCACTGACACCACCCTCCTGTTTTTCGCTCATGCACAAATCTCGCGCGCCCGCCTGCAGACGCCCCAATACCCGACCAACGGCTGCTCACCAGCGATACGATGCCAGAGGGCGCTGCAGTCTATAACATCGCCTGTGCTCTGAGGGCTAGTCCGACTCCGCTGCTGCAGGTGTCCTGGCTGAAGGACGGCATGCCATTGGATACATCCGATAGAGTGAAATACAGGTACTGACCTCTGCATCTGTTAGACACGAGAACTTACACATGGAGTAGCCACGACAGTCTCTGTAGATTTATTGGGAAACTCGTGTGCTCTCGTAGGTAGAAGAACCAGCGGGACAATTCTGTCAAACTCGAGCACAGATAAGTGTTAGTAGGTCCTATAAAATAAGAACTTATAGAATAGAAATAAGATCTCGCTCTCTCCTTTCCTCCCTGCTCCCCCTCGCTCTCTCTCTCTCTCTCTCTCTCTCTCTCTCTCTCTCTCTCTCTCTCTCTCTCTCTCTCTCTCTCGTGCGTGCGTGCGTGCGTGCGTGCGCGTGTGTGTGCGTGTCTGTCTTTGTCTCTCTCTCTCTATCTATCTCTCCCTTTCTCTCTCCTTCTCTTTCTATCTCTCTCCCTCTTTCTCAATGGCGCAACAAGCCAATGAGATTTCTCACACACCGAGCAAAGTGAAGCTAGTCTAATTTACTCGCTTTTCTTCGACAGCGGTCGATCGCCATTAAGACCGTCGCTGATCATCGGGAGCCCCACACGGGCAGACTCAGGCATCTACCAGTGTCGCGCTAGAAATGACGTCGGCTGGGGACCGGTCAGCCGTCCGTTCTCACTCGTCGTCGGCGACGACACGACAAGCCGTAAGCGAGCGCCCCCTGCTGGCGTTTATACAAACCATTATCGAGTGTTTTCGGTATAGTGCTGATGAAGCTATGAACTAACACTAATGCTAGCTAGCAAGTAGCTTGCTGGCATGTGGATAAACTTACTAATGGGGTAGGGCTTGGGCTAGGGTATATATGTATGTATATATATAAGTATATATTTATGTAATTATATATGTATGTATATGCGACTGTATACGTGGACGCGTGGGATGCTTGCAGGGCCGGTATGCGGGGAGGAACGCGACGTGGTCACCAGGCTGACAGACGAAGTGGAGCTGGTCTGCGTCACAGACCCGCGTCTCAGTGACGTAAGACCATAATATAGAAACACTATCTCGTATATATTCGTACGCATGTTCGTATATAGCTCGTCTATCTAGTGTATTATTTCTACGGGTAGGGCCTAAAACTTTCACACGCCTGCAGCTCTACCAAAGAACGAAGCAATGATTCATCTCATCGTGATTATTACATGCTTGTAATTAATAACATTGTCCTTATTAATTACAGGCGCACTGTACGTAAAATATACCTTCCACGTACAGCGCGCGTGAGAAAAAATCATTTATATAAAATTCTTAATATAAATCAGATAATATAAATTACAGTGTGTACATGTGTCTACTAAGCCGTTCCTTATACGACACCGGATATGCTAGCTGGGGTCATGTTAGGAGGCACTGGCTCGGTTGTTTGTATGCAGTAACACTTACGCTTTCCAGTTGGAGTTCACGTGGCGCTTCCGGGCGGAAATTTTGTCCGCCACCGAGCAAAGCGGTACCAGAAGTGTGCTTAGACTGGTACCACGCTCTCTCGGACAAGACGGGGAGTACGCATGTGAGGTATGGGGACAGACTAACAGAGTGTATCGCACATCCTCGCGGTGTTTTGCATGGGTTTTACTGCCGGGAGAGTGCGGCAGGCATGTATAGCAATCATGTAGAAATCTGACAGAATCATTGTTGTGAGTTCCCCGTGATCAATCCATCTAAAAACCCAATTTTTTTTTTTAAACCCTTAATGGATGCCTATATTACTATAACATTGCATATATATAATATTATATATCCTCTACCATGGCATATCCTACCATGTAGAAAAAACATAGAATATGAAGGTCCGAGGGTCCAAATAGTTGAAATACATGTAGGACTCTCTGGATATGAGTCTTTGCTATGATGCAGTAATAATCGTTTCAGGTGAGACATCCTAGCTGGACAGAGAGTTTAATCTGTAGAAACACGCTGCGACTCCTGCCACCGGCTATCCTGAGAAGCACACTACCACCAGGTGGCGGTTTACCCCGGCCAGGGAGCAGTCCACGGCCACCAGGTGGCGGTTCACCCCAGCCAGGGAGCGGTCCACGGCCACCAGGTGGCGGTTTACCCCGGCCAGGGAGCGGTCCACGGCCACCAGGTGGCGGTGCTGGCAGGCCAAACAGAGGTACGGCTTGCTTTCGATTGATCACCGATGATCAATGATCGAATGACCCACCCATGAAATCACAATTTAACATATTCAGTTCGCGACTCCGTTTTGAAGACATCTAATTATTAGGAAACCTCCTCGTGTAGATGATTATTGAGTCGCACATATAGTGGCGCCATCTTTTGTCAGCAAAGCGCGCCGTTTCACGACCTGTTTTGTCGTGGGGCAGTGCGTATATTATATAAAGAGCTAATAATACCTAAGGTAAAAAGGTATTATTAGCTCTTCATTATACGTATATACGACGCACGAGTGCGTGCTATGCTCTTTGATCAGGTAAGCTCTTTGATACGGTGTCGAAGTCAGGTAGGCTGGACTGCTGGACGTATGTAGCGGTGGTCGAAGCCAGGTAATCGTGCATTTTCGCCTTATGTTCTCAGCTGATGGGTAGGTTAGTGAGATAGAGAGCGAGAGAGAGAGAGAGAGAGAGAGAGAGAGAGAGAGAGAGAGAGAGAGCGGCGTGCGCACGTGCGGGTGTAGGTGGTGTGCGCACGGTGCTGTGTGCGCGCGCGTGCGGTTGTGCGTGCGGTGTGGTGTGCGCGCGCGTGCGGGTGTGCGCGCTGTTGCGTCTGCGAGTGTGCGTAACTCTTCTATGTCGTTAAGGCTGCCGTGTGTGATGTATGACTACGTGGCTGGCGTCTCATACTATGTAGTATCGCGCGTTGAATCGATGGGGGGGGGGTTCTCCGTCCTACGGCCTCTCTCTCTCTCTCTACTCGTACGACAATTGCTTGAACGTCATCCGTAGGGGGTGAGGGGGCGTGGTCGTGGAGGGGGTGAGAGGGCGTGGCCCGTGGACGCTGAGGGGGCGTGGCCCGTGGGAGCCATGGTCCGTGAGGGTGAGGGGTCGTCCGCTAGTTTGCGGGCACACATCTGGGCGTGGTCGCGGGCGTCCAGCCGCTCCTGGGGTGACAGAGGCGCTGTCCCGTGTCGACGACCTCGACCCCGCTTCCTCTCTGGATCGTTGCTAGGGAGAAACCTTCTGCGCAGACGAACGTCAGTTTGGTTCTGACGGGGAAGCTGCGAGCTCCTAGATTCCTATACACGAGACGGAAACAATGACGTCATCTGACCAGGATTGTCATAATATAGACATATATATATATATTACATATATACATATTACATATATACATATAATATATATACATATATATATATATATAAATATGTATATATATTACATATATACATATAATATATATACATATATATATACTTAATATATGTATTATATTTATGACACATCGTGATGACTGATAATGCCCGCCCCTTCCATGGCCATCAGGGGCCCGCTGTCAAGAAACAAAACTACTAACGCTAACTTGTTCTCTTAGCATTGGTTTTAACGCTAACTTGTTCTCTTAGCATTGGTTTTAACGCTAACTTGTTCTCTTAACATTAGTTTTAACGTTTTAACGTTAGTTTTGACGTTAACATTTGGGCGCCCTGGTGAACGAGGGATAGGCGCGTGTAGCAATACGTACGTGGCTTGTCCGCGAAGCATCGCCGTCAGGAGACCGTTTTTCTCAATATCAAGTGCCGGACAGTTTGCTGTAAGAGGTTAATATAAGGATTATATAATTTAATTATAATATAGGATGTAAATTAAGGATGTAATAATTATTTACAAATGGCGGCGAGCACATTGCACGCATTTAAATTTTATCGAATGCGCGACTTATTTATTATTCGCGTTTATTTTCATCACGACAACAATATGTATGCGATCTTTATTTGGGTAATCCTGTCGCAGTGCAGACTCTCTCTTTCGCTCTCGCACTCCTCTCTCTCTCTCTCACTTCTCTCTCTCTCTCTCTCTGCTCTCGTCTCTCTCATCGCTCTCTCTCTCGTCCCGCTCTGCTCTCTCTCATCTCATC